CTTACCAATTTCCAGCTGCTGGGGTGGTGAACCTTGGAGAGCTCCTCAATGATAGTGTACAGCACAGTATGGTGGGAAGTAGGCCAGTGCAAGTCACCCCTCAAACAGCTAGTTTGCTCTCCTCCTGCAGCAGGATGGGTTGATCATCCTCATCCCTGTTTGTCCAGCTAAGTTGTGGTCAGACACACAACATATGGTCTGATCATGCCCTAACCACATAACACTTCTTTGTTTTCCAATTGCTGCTGTGCTAATGCTCAGCTAGCCATGCTAAAATTCTGCCCATCCTTGTGACACATGGGGCTTTTTTGTCTTTCCTGTCCTTCCAGTTGAAGAGTGTACTTTGGTTGAGAGGAGATATGGTCTCCCATTGGTGTGTTCCTAGGAAGCTCCTGCCATTGGGTGTCACACTCCATGTACTTTCCCTTCAGGATCTTTGTGAAAGGAGCTTATCTAGATTTAATTTTTGCACTTGCTCCTCCACTTCATTGTCTGTGTGGAAGTGAGGTATTGTCTTGGAAGATAACATTTTCCTTACCTGTATTTTCAGTAGATTTCTTTGCACATCTTTCCACTCATATTCCTCACTTCTGATGCACTTCCTTCTTGCCTTGTCTAAGAATGAAGTTAATTCAAGCATAAGTGTTTTAGCGGAGCTATTGCTCCAGGAGGTTGTGTTGCCCTCCTATTGGTGCAGGGCTGTTTTTGCATAATTTTGACATTGTACACTAGTGCAGCTCACATTAAACACATTTTTTAAGTGGGAGGCTGGTCATGGCTAGTGGCATACAAATCTCGTAGGCAGAGGCATGAAGAAATCAAGCTATTCTGTGTGTGGGGTGATTATCTATTGGAAATACATTTTCAGGTAAGGAAAATGTTAACTTTGGTGGAGCTCACATTTTTTTTATAAATTAGGTGCTTGAAGTTGACAGTATATTCCTGGAATTTTTTTCCATTAGTCTGTGTGAACCATGTTATTTTTATTACATCCAAAATTTAATCTATAACAATCAGCATATATGGGTTATTTTCTTCCAATCCCAAATTGTTACTGTTACTTGCAATGTCAGTAGCTTTATTTATCAAAGCTTGTGGATAGCCATGGGAAATGGAACTGCTGAATAAATATTCTTCTTAATCTTCCACCATAACACAATACTCTAAGTTTTGTTGATGTAGGATGATTTGGTGAGAAGTCCATGTATGTGTTGGTGTAATGTGATAACTATTCCATTATGTACCTACTCTACCTTAAGAAAAGGATTTTGTTGTTGCCTTCTTTTTCTTTAATTAAATAGGTGGCCTAGTGTTGTTCAGCTGATGTTGAAATTTGAAATTATTCACAATCATTTATCTTCTGATGATAAGGGTTATAAGTAACTTAGCAAATTCAATGAATGTTCAGAATGCTTCTTGTTTAGTTTTTTTATTTATAATTAGACCACAATTGTGAAAGAGGGGATCCTGTAGGTGTGTCTTAACCTGTTGTGTAAGACTTAGCAAGTAAAAGTATGGTGATTTAAGACAGAGTTTGAGCAGTTTTTTGACACTGTTTAAGAATAGATTAATTCTGTTGTTAATTGTGTCATCATTTTTCAGGTTAGTCACAGTCACTTCAGTAGCCCTGTCTACAGAAGCCAGGATATATATTCTTTGATAGATTGTTTAGGCAGAGAATTCATGATGAAACTTTGTAGAATGAACGGCAACTGCCTGTCGTAGAGACACAAGTGTAGAAGATGATGTTTTGAAAGTCTTCCACCTTTCGTCTTCAGGTCAGTGTGTGTAAGGTGTTGTCGGTCTTTATAGTATTCTGGTGGATTGTGGAGAGAGTGTTATGATTGGTTGGTTTATCCCTGTTTCTGATTAGAGGATAGATTTCCTTTAGTTTCAACCAATGGTAGCCACAGGTTACTCACCTCTAATCTGGAATCTCTGTTCAGTGAAAGTTTAATTGAGTCAATATAAAATGATTCTTTAATTTTTCTTGTCTTCCAGAATTTGTCTGTGTTGATGATTCTAGTTTTTTCTATTTTGTGTCCAGTTGACATGCCATGTTTTGCAATGGCAGAATTTTGTGTGTTTTCATGAGTCGTGTAATGTCTTTATGTTATTTTATTGTTGTTGTGAGTCTTCTTCCTGTGTCTCCAATGTATGTTTCGTTGCACTAACACGGAATTTCATAAATGATGTTTTTGTGTTTCTCATTGGTGGGTTTCTGTTTGTTTTTTACCAGAATGGGCCTTAATGTCTTGTAGGATTTCCACTGGACTTCTATGTTGAATTTCTTGGCTATGCATTTGAGTTTTTCACTGAAACTTTGCAGGTAGGGGAGTTAAATGGTAGTAGTGGTAGTGTTTTTCTGATCTTTACTTTCTGTTGTGGTCTTCTTCAGGGAGTTTTTGATGAAGGAGGAGGTGTAACCATTCTAATTAAAACCGTCTATGATCTTTTGGCATTCTGTTTTGATGGATGTCTTATCGCAAATGCTTTCTGCTCTCTTGTTTTGGCATTGGATTATGCCACTTTTTATCAAGTCTGGAAGTGTAGGTGTCTGTTCTAGTGGATGGGTTTTCTGAATATAGTTGTGGTGATTATAGGTGTGGATGAAAAAGCTCTTTCTTCAAAGTCTTCCATGAAAATGTCTGCTAGGATTGGAGAGAGTGGTGATCCCAAGGCTAGACCATCTGTTTGTTTGTAGAATTCTCCACTGTATTGGAAATAAGTTGATTGTAGGCAACTGGTTGTTAGTTACATGATGACATCTATCTTCATATCAGTTCTGTGTGGTAGAAAGTTGTCATTCAGCAGTTATTGTCTGATGATCTGAAGGGTTTCTAAGGTTGGAACATTTGTAAATAGGTCTGTGACATCAAAACTGACCAGAATATCCTGGGATCTGATGTGTAGCTTTCTGTGTTGTTCTATGAAATCTGTCAAGTTTTGAATGTGATGTTCAGTGTTTCCTCGTAGGGGAGATAAGATAGGTACTAGGAAGGTAGCTAGTTGATGGCAAGGTGAGTTTGTAGTACTGTGATAAGCCTTAAAGTTATGTTGGGTTTGTGTACCTTAGGTAGTCTGTAGGACTGAGGGGAAGTTTTCTTTGGTTCTTAAGTCTTTGGCTAGCTTCTCATTGATTAAGTTTTGTTTCTTAAGATTGTTCAGTGTTCTATTGATGAGTCTCCCTGTCTTTTCTGTAGGGTCATTGGTGATATTTTTATATTGGTGTTTGTCTAGTAACTGCTTGATCTTCATGTCATAATCTTTGATGTCTAGGATGACTATACTGTTTCCTTTTTCTACTGGTAGGATCTTGATATTGTTGTCTCGTTTTAGACGGTTGAGTGCACTGCATTTTTGTTTAGTGATGTTTGGTTTTGGTTTCTTGGCATTGCTGAGGATGATTTAAGTTTGATGTTGGAATTGTTCAGCCATAGGTTTTGGAAGGTTTTGTGCAGCAGATTCTAAGGTTGCAGCTATCTCAACAGTTGGAACAATGCCAGGTTGTATGGTGAAGTGTAAACCTAGGTTGAGAATCTTATTTTCTGTATCATTGATACAGACAAGTTCTGGAAGACAAGAAAAATTAAAGAATCATTTTATATTAACACAAACCTTCACTAAATAGAGATTTGGGATTAGAGGTGAGCAAGCTGTGGCTACCATTGGTTGAATCTACAGGAAATCTCTTCTCCAATCATAAACAGGGATAAACCAACCAATCATAACACGCTTTCCACAATCCACCAGAATACCATAAAGAGTGACAACACCTTACACACACTGACCTGAAGACGAAAGGTGGAAGACTTTCAAAACGTCATCCTCTACACTTGTGTTTCTACAACAGGCAGTTGTCAAACCAGCAAGTTCATAAAAACCAGTGACTTATTTTCTGACAAGCACAATTAAAGAAACTTTAAAATATCCAAAGAAATCACTTGTGAAACAAAATACACCATTTACCTTATACAGTGTAAAAAATGCAATTACCAATATGTAGGACATACACAAACAACTCTTGGAGATCGTTTCAACAACCATAAATCTTCTATTAACACCGAAAAAGATTTCCTTGTTGCTCAACACTTTAACCAACCTAGTCATTCCATTAATGATGTTACTCTCATCAAC